CAATATTTCATTAGTAAAAGAGATTGATATGGTGTTTTTAAATGGCAATATATCAGCATATGAAGATATTGTGATATTTTAATGTATCAATATTTTTTCTCTTGTCTTTAGAAGTTTTTAAGCCTGTAAAAAATAAGTTTTTGAGGAAGAAGAAGTAGTTTTTTTTTTTAGACTTTAGAAACTCAGAAGCTAATCAAATATCGGTTAAATATCGGTGGGGTGGCCGATGTCCGATATTCAGTTTTAAGGCCGATACAGGCCGATACCGATAGTGGGCCGATTATATTGTGCATCCCTAACATAGACCTTTCTTTTTGAAATCATAAGGAAAGCAAATTGACGCATCCAGTATCAAATGCTGCAGCTTCTTATGCTGTATAAGACAGTTTTAGTATTTGTTTCCCTGCTTCTGACTGCAGTGCCGTGCTAAGCTGCACCTCAATTCCACTCTACTAGATGTGGTAGTAATTACTTAATTAACATAATTAACTTTTAATGGAAAGTGTGTTTTTAAACAGTTAGTGTCTCATTGTATGAAACCCACTAACTGAACGACTAACTGACAAAGACTCCTGGATCTGTGATAAAATGTTTTCAGAAAATAAAACTGATGAAAAGATCTCTAAGCTGAGGATGTTTAGTGGTTGCTAATGATTATATACTCTGCAGCTTTATCCTGACACAGTTCAGTATGACCTGGTCATTGAAGGGAGAAACCATGCTGTTCATTTGGAAAAGAACAGGTAAACGTCAGATTCCTACTTTAGAAACAAAGGATCTCAGTCGGTAAATATGTTCAAATAAGAAGCTGTATTTTAATTTTGTTTACAGGAATCTTATCAGTAAAAGCTACACTGAAACGTACTATTTAGAGGATGGAAAAAGAGTGACATCACAACCGAATGAGGTACGGTTTTACTTTTTGATTTATTTATACTACAGCTGTTTCGACGCCTGAAAATGTAATTTTGTTGTCGATTGAAACTTAAGATGCAATCAAAAATGCAGGTGTTAGTATTATGCTTCATCTTTTTTCCTCTTTGTTACCCAGCATCAATAAAAAGCTCCATTCAGTGCATCTACTTCATGATTTCTTTGTATGTGGAAAACAAAGAGGCTCTTTGTTAGTAAAAACTGTTTTGTTTTTGTCATATTTTTTTCAGGACCACTGCTTCTACCACGGACATGTTCAAGGTGAAGCCGACTCTTCGGTCAGCGTGGGAATCTGTTCAGGCATCAGGTCAGAAAAAAACAGATTGTAAAAGATTGTTTTCACCACCCAGCACTTCCTCTTCCTATTTCACCTCCTATCCAAACCTGATGTCTGTTAAAATAACTGATAGAAATTGAGCAACGCTTTTTTATATGTAATCATGATCTTACTTCTCATGGTTGTTTCTAGTTGTACAGCGTATTATTTTGGTCCCGTTATGATTGTCCTGCATTTTATTGTGAGAGTAACGTTTAAAGCATCGTTTTCTTCCTTGTTTGTCTAAATCTGCTCCTTGTTCTCCTGTGTTTTTGCTAGCGGCTTTCTGAGAGTCCAGCAGCAGGTTTACCTAATAGAGCCTCTGGGACGGACTGCGGATGGAGAACATGCCGTCTACAGACGGGAGCACCTGAAAATCCCCGGCCAGTCTGACAGTAGTTCCTCTTCGAACACGACCCTGACGTTTGATTTGGATCAGAACCAGGAGCCGCGCCCTCAGCCAGAGGGCCTCTTTAAGTCCAGATCATGGGTACTTTTCTGCTTTTAATTCCTGATCATCTAACTTGTTGTTTTCTAACCAAACCAGCAACATGGTTTAGTAAAATATAGTTTTTTTATTAGTTGGGATATGAATATATCTTCCTACTGTAGGCTTATTCGCATAAACTTTCCACTCAGCAGTTTGTTTGTTTTTTTTTAAAGGTGTTTAGGCAAATTAAGCTTATCACTTTTGAAGTTAGTGATCCTACAGAAGTGGATTATAATCCAGTAAATCAGCTCAGGCTGTCAGACCTTGAATATATATGCTGGTTCTCTGTATTTCAAAACAAGCATCTCAGATTAATGCATTTGTTTTAGGCTGCATGTGAGGTTCTACTGTACGGAAGCGAATCGTTACCATATTTCAAATGAAAAAGCATTTCCAGAAATGCTTTTTAATTTTAAGAATGTGACTGCATTGCTAGACTCATAAATAAAATTAGTAACCAATCATCCTATTTGCATTTTAATTTTCGTCTTTAACACTGCTCATCATTTTATTTAATTAAAATGAAAAAGAAAAAGAGATTTGAGATTTATTTTTCAAAATATACCCCAGCAAATACATACCAAAAAGCATTTCTGGAAATGCTTTTTCATTTTCAAATTTTACATTTCAAATGGAATTTTGATATGTATTTGCTGGGGTACATAAGTAAAAGGATGAGCAGTGTTAAAGAAGAAAACTCAAATGCAAATAGGATGATTGATTACTAATTTTATTTATGAGTCTAGCAATGCAGCCACATTCTTAAAATTAAAAAGCATTTCTGGAAATGTTTTTTCATTTGAAATATGGTAACGATTCGCTTCCATACTACCGTGACTTTTTACATGAAGATGCTTTTTAGTGAGTGTTACACACAGAAGTTTTTTTTCTCATTGTTCACTCCTTAACTTTAAGACTAACTAACCTGCATAGTGTGAATTTTAAATGCAAACAATCTCCTTTTCTTTTCACTCAGAAAACAAAATCAGCACCAGGTCCTCAGAAATTTGTCGAGTTGTTTGTGGTGGTGGACAACACTGAGGTAAATGCTTGAACAAAGGTACCACGCTTTGGTGACTGTTTTTTTATTTTTTATAAATGCATTTATTGAAGAAACTGATGAGTCATATACATAAAGAAAATGCAAAATTTTCCTCATTGCATTTTCTTGTTTTTTCTCCCATGAAACAATAGGCCTACTAAACAAAATTTAGCTCAAACCAAATCTAAAGGGCATTACATACAACACACTTGTATTGAATAAACAAAATTTTAAATAAAAATACACCCATGCACACAGGGGGAGAGGAAGTGGGTGGGGTTATTATTCTGAAGGCAAGGTAAGGCAAGGCACCTTTATTTGTATAGCACATTTCAGCAACAGGGCAAGTCAAAGTGCTTTACATAAAATCTGTTAAAAAAATAAATAAACCACAGATTTAAAGTGATTTACAATATTCCATAAAGAATAACATTTATTTCTGAATTTTTACTATTTTCCTTTCATTGCTAAATGTTTTTTCTCCATTTTAAGAAATCATAGAACATCGTGAAACCACTGAGATATTAAAGGTGCTTTTTAAACATTTTTTTCATCTGACAATAAGTGATGTAAAAGCCGATATTTTGGCGTGAAAATGGTCCATTAAAACAGACTTTACCAAAAATAGCTAAATAAGGATTCATATAAATTTTGGGATGTGTGGGATGATGATGTCACTAGAGGAAAACAGCGGATAAGCTAGCAGTAGTTGGAAAACCAACAGGATGGTTGAAAAAGCACACCTCAAAAGTCCTCTGATAAGACCTCTGTGATGTCACCAAAGGGTTTAATCAAAACTGAATTATTAGATGACTTTTTACAACCAACTAACAAAAAAAAAAGAGAGACGTTGACCTGGATGAATCGTTGCTTTGGTGCCAGATTGCATCTTTAGCGGCTACTGAAGCTTAAAGGCCGGTTTGTTGTTTGGTGGACTCATCTGAAAAGCTTTCCTCTTCTCTTCCAGTACAAACGGTACGGAAAAGACACCAGGTCTCGCATTCTTGGCGTGGTGAATCACATCGACCAGGTAAAGTCGTTTTTCAATGTTTGTGCTTCTAAATGTTTTATTTCTTATTTGCTCCTGAGCTTCTGGCCTTCTTCCCCGCAGCTGTACCGCTCTGTGAACATCCGCATCATGCTGGTGGGCTTGGAGATCTGGTCCTACAGAGATTACATCGACGTGCTGGGAAACACGGACGATACTCTGGATAACTTCCTGGTGTGGCGCCAGGCCGACCTTTTGCCGAGAGCAAAGCACGATAACGCCCAGCTGGTGACGTGAGGATCGCTGATGGGAATCAGTGCAAAAGTTAAAACCTTTAAGGCTTCCACTTTGAAATGACGTTGGACTCTTGTCTTTCACAGCGGCAAAGACTTTGATGGAGACACGGTGGGACTGGCCAATAAGTTTGCCATGTGCACTTTAAACTCGGGAGCAGTCAACCAGGTCAGTGTTGTCACATTTTTACGCTAGCTGCGTTTTGTTTCATTTCTTTTGCATTTTTCAGCATCAGATCTCCATATCTGCTTTAGGACCACCACGAGAACCCGCTAGGTCTTGCTTCCACCATCGCTCATGAGATGGGACATAACTTCGGGCTTTCCCATGATACAGCAGGGTGTGTCTGTGGTCCAGCTTACAGCAGAAACAACTGTTTGATGACTGAAAAACTCAAGTAAGAAGTGATGTTAAAACCATTTTTTCAGCCTGTTTCTCATCTTAGTAGATGTTTAAATCCTCAGTGCCTTTATGATTATGTTCCACTCAGTTCAGGGGGCCAGGCTTTTCCAGACTTTTTCAGCGACTGCAGCATCCAGCAGCTCGCTCAGTTCATGAAGCGAGCGCAGCCAGACTGCCTGCACTTTCCAGGCCCCATCAGTACCATCGCTGTGGGCCCCCTCTGCGGAAATGGTCTGCTGGACCCCGGAGAGGAGTGTGACTGTGGCACAGCTGAGGTAAAAACCTGATTTCTATTTCTGCCTTACTGAGGTTACAGCTAATGATCAAACTGAAAGAGTTCAAAATAGGGCTTCAAAATCTGTTCGTATTAAAAAATATATTTTCTTTTAGATGCTCTGGGAAAGAATGCTTAAAGTGTCAATCTACATCCTTCTGTTATTTTCCTTTTTTTTTATATTTGTAAACTGCTCAACGATCCAATGTCACCACGCCTCAAAAATTAAAATTAACTCATTATTAGCTTGGACAGGTTTTTTTATTTGTATTATTGTTTCCTGTTAGGAATGTAGCAACCCTTGCTGTGATGCCTCAACGTGTCGCCTGACTGAGGGATCCCAGTGTGCTCATGGAGAATGCTGCCACCGCTGTCAGGTACGCCTTCAGATGGTAGAGATACCTGCTAATTAGGACTGCAGCTAACAATTATTTTAATCGATTACACTGTTGATTTTTTTTTTTCTTCAACTAATCGATTCATTTCATTACATTTTTTTTATTTCAGTCATGTCGTTAGCTTTTTTTAAAGCGTTGTTTCATGAATAACTTCACATTGTATTTTGTTTACATGAGTGAAAAGGAGCAAAAAGAAGACAAAGTTTATAACATGTCCTCCTTTCTCCAAGCACAAAACAAAATATTAAAGATGGCCTGATGTTCATTTTGCAATATAACTTCAAGCCATACAGGCAGGCCATGTTTTCACAAAAAAAAAAAATTACATTTATTTCTTATGTTTCTTATGTCTCTGTATACGTTATCATGTATAATGTTTCTAAATTTTATACGGTCAAGTAATTTTAATAGTTTTGATTTTCTAAATAGTTAATAATCGGATAGCAAAAAAGCAAAAAAAGATGTAACTAAAACTTTTCCACCTAAGGAATTGTGGATAGAGCATATTGATGGACAAAATATTTTTTTTTATCTTAAATGCAAAATATTTATCATTTTTTTTATACAGTTTTGCTATAGTAACTGCTCTAAGTTGGTCGTTCTGTCAGCTAAAGGCATGTTTTAGAGTCTCTATACTCAAATTAACAATTAACAATGGATTATTAAATTAGTTGATGATTAATCCGATTAATTGTTTCAGCCTTTCTGCTTTTAAGTCTTTTACATTGTTACTTTTGTCACTTTAGTTATAGTTATTCCCAGAGATGGGAAGTAACGAAGTACAAATACTTCGTTACTGTACTCAAGTAGATTTTTCTGATATTTTTACTTTACTTTACTACTTATTTTTATGGCGACTTTTTACTTCTACTCCTTAAATTATTACACAAATATCTGTACTTTCTACTCCTTACATTTAAAAAAATTGGCTCGTTACTTTAGTTTTGAATCATTTCAATGGAGTTACCGTTATTATTTTTCACGTCATCAATACCAAATTCAATCTAATTGGATGGGAATCTACGTTGCATTTGACGCACCACTACAAGATGAATCGACAGATTCGGCGTTATTCATTCTCGGCAAATCATTGCAGCTTGGTGGCGGTGGCGTTAGCATAGTAGCATGGACGACGAGATGATTGAAAATGAACACAACGGAGATCTAGTCCTATTGGCAGACATCCATTTAAAATGTAGGCAACGGCATGAAAAAAGTGGTTTCTACTTTTACTTTTATACTTTAAGTAAATTTACAAGCCTGTACTTTGTTACTTTTACTTGAGTAAAGAAGTTTAATCAGTACTTCCACTTTTACCAGAGTATTTTTTAACACAAGTATCTGTACTTTTACTCAAGTACAGAAAGTGAGTACTTTTGCCATCTCTGGTTATTTCCAAAGTAGATTAATTAATTTAGATTTTAAACTTCCACATGTAAAAATAGCCATTTAATGTTTGTGACAAATATTTCGTCATCTTTCAACTCTAAAATCTACTAAAGGTGGTTTGGGCTTATCCTTTATTGTTTTTATGAAATATCTCTCAAACTTTAAGAATCAAATCTCTATTAATATGTTGACCAAGCATCTGTATGTCAAATTTCTGTGAGCCTGATAAAATACATCCATTGGCTCCTTGGAAGATCAGCTTTAGCATCACTTTACAGTAAGGCTTATGACATTTGTTAACCTTTGTTAATTTCTATATAGAAATCTAGATATAGAAAAAGTTCTTCAAACTCTATATAACATTTATTAGAGTTGACATATAGTGAAAAAACATTCTTAAAGCAACACTGCATAACTTTAGATACTATTAGCTTTATTTGAGAAATGTTAAATGCTTTTTAAGGTAATGTTTTCAGCAGATGATGCGTATTGATGCTCGGTTTGTGACCCTGTTTATAAAAATTCTTTATTTATGATCCATTGCTAAGTGAGTCATGTGATCCACAGCGGTCTGAGCTCCCCTTAAACAGAAGGCTAACTAAGCTAAACCTTTTTTTTAAGCGATCAAACATCTAATCCCGACCTGATCAGACATATTTTAAATTTTCTGATGTAGGGTTGAATCTCTTTATCGATAAACTTCCCATTCTGCTGGTCCAACATGGTCTGCTATCAGAGTCTAAAACAGAGAGGAAACGGTTTTATTTTTCGACACTTCGGTGTTACCAGCTGCTTTTATTTACATAGAAAGTTGCTTTAAGTATTATTACATCCGTATTACTGCACCAAAGCATTTGGTTAAAGTTCTTTTGTCATAAAAAGTGAAGTTGCTGTTCTTCATTCACAGATAAAATTGTGTTATTGAGGACGTTTAAAGCGGTCAAAAACATACAGTGCCTTCATTTAGATGATGATAAATGTAGGTTTGGATGCTCTGTGGTCACATAAGCACATTTATAGTAGAATAGTCCTGTTATATGTCTATAAAAAGACGTCGGTCCCAATAGTGTTTTGATCTTCAATTCTGAGCCTAAATAGAATTCCAGTACCGGGTGCGCTAAGACCGTAGTACCACAGAACTATCAAAAGATGAGGACAATTGATGCAGCTACCTTATAGAGCATGACCCAAAGCTGTTACAGAAGACTGTTAACCTGGTATGTTTGTATCCAACAGCTGAAAGCATCTGACAGCATGTGCAGGAGTTCTGCCGGCGATTGTGACCTGCCTGAATACTGCAGCGGCGTCTCAGCGGATTGTCCCGAGGACAGCTTCGAGATGAACGGGAAACCCTGCTACAACCCTAAGCTGGGTCACTGCTACAACGGCCAGTGTCCCACAAGAGCGCAGCACTGCTGGAGGCTGTTTGGAGAAGGTACTTTCCACACACCAGTTTCAGTTGGCGGCCATGTTGCCTTGCAGAAAAAAAGGTCTTGGGTTTGGTCTGACCTCAGGATGGTTTACAGGAGTTGGCATGTTTTTCACATGCATGCATAGGTCTCTTGTGTAACTTCGGCCTTCTTCCACCGTTTGAAACCATCCTGTTTTATTTAATTGTTAAAGAGATGCTTGGTTTCCCCTGAGAAGACCCCAATATTACTTTAACTAAGAAGTTCAAACATTGATGTGACATTAATGACATGAAATGATGCAGACGGGTCTCCAAATGCTTCTTTTTTCATATATTTAGTGTGTCCCCATTTAAGATATTTTCATGACTGCAATTATTATCAAAGTGATTATGATAAAAACAGTAAAAAAAAAAGAAAACATTCTGATTTCTTCTTGCAGGAGCCAAAGAAGGCCCAGATGTGTGTTTTAACCTAAATAAACAGGGAGATGAAGGTGCTAACTGTGGGAGGGAAGGACAGGGCTTCATTCGCTGCTCACCTCAGTATGTATCAAGTAAAATCTGATTTCTGCAGCATTGATAGAGGCTGGGAATGAGTTTTAACCTATTGTGTTGTTTTTATTGCTTTTAGGAATCTGAAATGTGGGTCTATGTTTTGTGTCGGAGGGAAGGAGTCAATCACAGGTAAACACGCAGTTTTTAATGTGTTTGGTGTCGAGTGTAGGCTGGTCCTGGAGGTCGATAACACCAGAAACCTGAACATGGTGCCGAATGGAACCACATGTGGACAAGATAAGGTATAGCAACTTAAAAAGAAGACTCTATTGAAATGATCTGGACTTCCTTTGCTCAGGCTGAAACGTGTGTTTTCAGGTTTGCCTTGGAAACAGATGTGTGGATGTTTCAGTTTTTGGGAAAAGAGATGAATGTGCAAAGAAATGCAACAACAAAGGGGTACGTTCTCCCTGTGATCCAGCCATCTTTCCTCATGTTAACCCAGACGGATTAGCCTTCCAACCGGAGTCTAATTCAAAGACGAACTAGCAGATGAATCATTGGAAAGTTGAAGATGATACTTGAGCTTTTTAAAACTTGCTTTCAGGTGTGTAACCACAAGAATGAATGCCACTGTAATCCTGGATGGGCTCCTCCATACTGCAACATCAAATATGCAGACATAGTTAAAGGTAAACTTTTCAACATTAACTTTTGACTGTTTAGTTTTGCTTTAATCCAACAATACTGCACTGAAATCATCATCATGGTTGCTTTCATATTCGTATCCTTTTCCTAACCAAGTTCTCTGCAGAACCTCAGACAGTCACCTTTGGGTTCTCTATCAACTTTCATTTCCATTCATCCTTCTTTAAGGCTCTTTTAAATCAAATGAGGAATCTCTGAACATGTTGGACTTTGACTAGGTCAATTTTTACTCATAAATAAAATTTTAGCTTCAGCTGAGAAAACGATGAACATCTAATAGGGTCTTTTAATCCCTAAGATTAGCACCACTGCTTGTGTCAGATTAATTTTAACCTTTCTTTGCTGCAGGTCAGACCATGATGGTAGCTGGCGTGTGTGCTGCTGTCTCCACGCTCCTGGTGATCATGTCAGTGATCGTAGGACTGGTCTGCTGTAAGAAGAACGACATGAGGAACGTCTACATGTATAAAATGTAGGTAGTTCCTGCTGATGAGAACATTTATTTTGTATTTTTGTCCATCCTGCTGATTTAAATCTCATGTTTACAGGAAAAAGCGGCCTTCTCCTGGTGAGAAGAACCCCATGTTCCAGGAAAAGGGCGTCAGAGAAAGACCTCAGATCAGCCAGCCCACTCTGACAGAGTCCACTTCCACTCAGGCCTGCAGTCCTCTGTTTGTTACTGTGACGCCTAGCAGACCTGCTTCACTGGTACGTCCTCCTCAGTTTTTCAGATAAAAGAAAAAAAGTCTTCAAACCAAAATAACAAAGTTCTTGTTTTTTTTCCCCAGCCTCAACCTAAACCTTCATCATCCTCCACCTCTGAAACTGAGCCAGTACGTTTGCTGGTTGCAATCTCAAATCTTTGCATCATTTAAAATCAAATTAAATCTGCAGCTAAAGTCTTTAACCTTTTTAGTTATTTTGAATATCTTCAAAATAACTGAGAACTGTTGCTATTGAAGAGAAGAAGTGAAGCAAGCAAAGACAAGTTCCCAGATAGATATATCATTCTCTCTGTTTCTGTAGATCTATATCACTAACTGTTCTATTCTGTTGATATTTTTATGCAGAGATTCATATTTTAGAGCATTTTAAAGTATTTCCTCCAAGACTTGATAGTAATCTGGTACCTTTAATGTTTAATTACAGACAAAATTTAGGTTTTCTTATTTTATAGAGTTTCGGCTCTACTTAAACCTAAGCTGTGTTATGTTTTCAAACTAATAATCAATCAATACTGCATTTTAAGTCAGATGAATCAATGCAACTAGAGCAGAAATTTGCTTGTTAAAAAGATTGTAATCTGGATTTTGGATTAATCCCTTGGACCATATTAGGAAGTACATTACAATAGAAATGTTTTAGGATGAATAAAAGCAGTTTTTTTTTTTTTAATAAAATAAAAACAGATTTTTTGCCATTTCGGATGCTTACCAGTTGTGTCCAAAGTTAGACTAAAAGCATATCAACTGTTTTTTTTTTATTCTTTTTGCACCACAGACCAAACCTTTACCTCCAGCCAAACCTTTGTCTCCTCCAAGTAAACCAAAGGTGAGTCGTTTTTCAGTCTCACAGGATTTTTTAATAATATTTAATGGATTTTACCCGTCCTTAAAGCTTTTTTAAGAAGTATAAATCGCTCTCATCTTAGTGAAAGTCAACTGCTGCTGCTCAAACACTTCTTTTGGTTTTAACAGCGAATTGTGCTGATTTTATCTCCGACTGTATTTAGGAAGTTATTCTTGTCAAAATGTAGAAAAGCTCAGAACTATCAAAGATTCACAATCTGGGATAAAACTGAGGAAGTCATTTTCCTATTTTTCTAGCTGATAATATTAATAGGTCTAACTCATAATAAATGTTTTTTGTTTTTTTTCTTTTTAGGGGGATTTTTTTAAGTGAGCAAAGAGGTTTAGAAACAAACTGTTCCTTTTTATAGCTCCTTCAGAATAAAAGCATTTATAATTCACAGAATGATGCTTTGGTTCTGAGGGGCCAGAAAACTATGCCAGAAAAAAAATAACTTTAATGAGATTAAAACACAACAGACTATAGATAAACTGTACAACATTGTTTAACAAAGGAAATTACTACCAGAATAAACTCATAAAATTTCTCTTCCTGATGTTGATGTTTAGAACCATGGAACCAAACCAGGTCCTCCACCTAAACCTCCAGTCAAACCCCCTCCTCCGGTTGCCAGATTCAAGCCTCCTCCTCTTCCGGCAGCGAAGCCTCGACTCATCAGACCTGTATGACATCCTGGTTCATCTCAGATGATTTAAAATCAAAGATCCGCTCCGGCTGGAAAACATAAAGCTTAAAAAGCTTTATTAAAATCGGACAAACAGCTGCTCTGCAGCAGGGAGATTTTTTTTATTTTGTTTTTTATATAAAAAGTATTCTTTTTCTACACTTTTTACGCATCGGATGCTGAGCTGCACTGACTTTTCTGTATTTATTTCACATTAAGTGTTACTGAAAGAAACAAGACGACTTTTATTTTTTTGTGCTTCCTTTTTAAAAGAAATCAGACTTTTTTTCATTTTTTTGATGACCTCATGTTTGTAATTTATGTTTTAACACCTCGGAGAGGCTCCTGGGCTCTGCTGACTCTCCGATCGGAATGTAATGCTCTATAATTATAACCTGCATTAAGTATCGAATCCCTCCAAATGACTCGAAGACCTCAGGGCAGATGGGTCACGTTGTTAAATCGCTGCTCATTTTCTGTCCTATGTTTTCTGCTCATACTCCAGTCATTGCTGTTTTTTGGGCCGTTCCAAGGCTAAAGGGGTGTTCACTTCCCCTTTGGTGAGCTCTGGGTCTCCTCATGTTGTGCATTCCCTGATAAACTCGAAAGAGGCATTCAGAAAAAATCCTGATCAGAACCTGAACCTCCTATCATTAGTCCTTCAAAATGCAAAGAAGATACAACCTTCCCCCTGACTAATGGAGCTCCTGGCCTAATTATAAGGTCTTCATCTTGGATCCTGCTCTTGTAACCCTTTCCAGATGAAGCAACAGTCCGTCCATCCATCTCCCACTTCCTCCTTAATCCAACGTCTGATAAAAGTCCAGAGTAAAAGTTTCCCAGCTAGGCTGAGAGTTGGAACACATGTTCTCTGCCAAACCCATAAAGAAGAACCAGACCTTACATGTTTCCTTTGGAATAAACAGCTGAAGCAGCAGCGTCTGTGAGAGAGGCTGTTTTGTAACATGATGTTAGATAAGCTGCATACGTTCTGCATCAGTAATATTTCATGTCTATCGACAGGAATGCTGCTTTAAAAAAAAAGAAAAACTAAAACCTCCTTTCAATCAGAAAATCTTCACCTTTTAATATGTGATCATTTCATTTTGACTGTTTATCTTTCTGGGTAGAAAAAAAAAGCATTTCTATCATCACAGTTAAAAAAATCTGTCTGCACTGGATGTAAACTCTGGAAGTTTGCAATCAACACCCTGAATGTTTTCTTTGCTTTTGAATCGAAGCGAATTAAACATATTTTGCATATTCTTTTATTTGAGCATGCATAAATAGTAGAAATATTGGAGGCCTTACATTTTGTATCACTGTTTGTATTTAACTCATATGGTGTCTCAATAGTGGGATAAAAACTAAACAAAAAACATTTTGAGATGCATCTTCGTTGTAAAAGCCTTTTATTTTGTGTCATGCTGTTAGAACTTGACTGATGGAATGTAAACCTTTTTGGTCCACAGCAAATAAAGCGCACTTTACTCTGCCTGTGTGGTCATGGTGCGTCAGCAGATTGTGCGATTAATGGTGGAAGCTGCATTTTCACACTTAAGATATTTTTGTCGCTTCATACAGATTACACAACGAAGCGGTCACTGCATCCGTTCCAGTTAACTTAATGTTCTTTAAAGAGAAGAAGGAGGAGGCAGCAGGATGGGTGAAACATTTTTTTGTTTTTGTAAGAGGTAGTTTTAAAAAGATGAATCTCCTGCTTTTACGCTCAGAAAACACATCAGGTCATTAGAAAATCAGTGTTATTCAAAAAATCAGAATACAAGAGAAATGGACGCCTATGCAATGAAACAATATACACAGTGGCTAAAGTCTAATAAATATACTGATGTTAAAGAAGCAGTCAGAACCAGCTGTCCTTGGTCATAACTCCTTTCTTTTTGTCCAGTTTTATAAAATCAAAGGTAACTAAAAAGGCTAAGAAATGGACAATTAAAGATGCAATATATATATATATATATCTATATATATATAGATATATATATATATATAGGGGAACATCCATTGCCTACAATTGCTACTAATTTCATATTTATATAGCATATTTTACAGATAAAAATTACTCTAATTTAAAATAAATATTTAAAAAGAAAAATAGTTTAAGATGTTAATTGGTCTGCCAGTATGACGTCAATAACAAGGCTTTTAAGCACCTTTGGGATTATAGATTGTCATTTTCCCCTTTTTTCTGTAAATAGGTGCAATCTGAAGATCAATTTAATATAAATATCTAAACATTCTTTATTGGCACTAGTGATCTATTTTTTTTCCCCCTGAATGCAGGTTACATTCAACAAACAAATGTATGATTGTTTGTGGACAGGAATAAAGATAAAATGCTGTTATTTAAATTATTTTTCCTAATTGCCAGGTCTAGTTCTGCAGCTTTTAGATGCTTCTCTGCAAAGGAAGCAGCTCATCAGCATCATTAAGCTCTGCAGAGGCTGGGTAAACAGATTATTGAACCTGGGTACTCCTGCTGTACTAATTTAAATGTATTATTTTAAATATATTACTTTGATCATTATAGCAAAATGACTCCTTTCCTGTTAGAGTCTGCATTTAACTATTAACTAAGACAAGTTAAAGGATTATGAAAGGGCTTCTCTACATTAGTCAACATCCTTCCTCCATCCATTCATCAGGGGAGCCTTTAAAAAGGATCATGAATGTTTCACCCTACCTGAAGCAGCAGGCTAACAGTGAGATGCATGATGCTGGCATTAGAAGAGTGAATGTAACAAAAGAACCAGACTTGTAGATCAGCAGGGGGATGTAATATGCAGCTGCTGGATCCTGGAAATGGCTGATTAACACTGACTCACCAACAAATCTGCCGGAGAAACAGCTGCAGAGCAGAGACCCTTTCAGCAGGAGAGCCTGGATCACAATAGTGAGTTTCAAGGAAAACAAACATGCAGAATTAAAACAACCATTCCCCAACAACAACAACTAAGATTTTTTTATGCAGAAAAATATTAAGCTATTTGACATGACTTCATGCCCTGGCAGCTCCCTGAAATACAGTAGCTTAGATGGGTCCAGTGAGGTCATGAGAAGGTGAACTCGATCTGCAGGAATACTCAGCCTCTGATCTGATTGATTACGGTTGAAACACTGAGTCAGATTATCTTGATTGTTTCCAGCTTCCAGGAATTTGAGTGTTGTTTTAAAACTGGCCTGAACTGAGTCACGGCTTAAATCCTTCAATAATTGCACCGTTTGTTAGTCAGGCCTTTCCTGAAGGAAAAAGGACAGAGAAACAGGGAGGCATCAGGAAGCGAATTAACTTTAAACGCCTCCATCCTGAGCAGTTCAATAGTGCTACTTAACCTGGGATTATAGTGTTACATACGATTTATCTAAGAAGTAGATGCAAAGAAATGAAATGCAAGGTATTGGGAGAAAGAAACAACACAGGAAAAAATAAAAAAGTATTTTTTTCTTAAAATAAGAACATTTGCTCTTGGATTTAGAAGGCAAAGGAGCCATTTTGCCAATGGAAGACAATTTACACTTAAAATAAGAAAAGACAATCGAAATGTCTTCTTTCAAGTACATATTATCTAATTATCTTATTTTAAAAGTAAAAATACTAATTCAATTGGCAAACTATCTCATTTACCTCCTCAAATTAAGGTTAAATACACTTAATTTAAGACATTTTCACTTATTTCTACATCATTTTTCAAGTGAAAGAGGGAATTCTTGTAACTTTAATGAGGGAAAAAAGCAAGATTTTGTAGAAATCTTTGTTATGAAGGCAGCTGCTTATAGCAATAAGTTATATTTTTTTCTTTTATTTAACTATCAAACACTTACCTAAAATATAAGCTCAGTACTGATTAAAATAAACTACAGTTACGTGTAATAAATGTATTTTTACTGTAATAATCAAAGATTAGGCAGCTATATTGGATTTGAAGTTTAGGCTAATGAGGAAAATCTGAAATCTGAAATCTTGAAATTTTAACTTTTAAAATAAAAAAAGAGCACAGTATGCATGCTTTACTTAAAGGAGAAGTTCGGTTTTTTACACTTTAAGCCCATTTTCTGTAGTGTCCAGGATGAAATCGAATGATCGACACCAAAAGTTTGACAATTGGTCCTGTCTCTGCTTTTTGGCTCATTTAGAATCAACCCCTGGCTGCTTTAGAATGGCTAGCATAGAGCATGTCCGATAATGTCCTTAAAACAACCTTAAACGTTCTTTTTTTAAAATATGCTACTCACCGTGTCGTCAGCGCTGTTCAATGACGTTCCAAAAAAAGTTTCGTGAAGAAAAAACGTTCCTGTAGTGTTTTATTTAGCATTTTGTAAATCCCATTGAGTTCTGTAGGAATAGTCAATATTCCGCTGCCACCGGAAACGGAAATGGGGCCTGTTTACACAGTTGTAGTCTTTTCGCTTCACTCTGTGTACTCCGACGTCGAGAATCAAGAATCCACCTTTCGTATTCCATTTTCAGAGTTTTTTAAAGTGTTTAACAGAGACGTTAGCACCTCGACGTCGGAGTACACAGAGTGAAGCGAAAAGACTACAACTGTGTAAACAGGCCCCATTTCCGTTTCCGGTGGCAGCGGAATATTGACTATTCCTACAGAACTCAATGGGATTTACAAAATGCTAAATAAAACACTACAGGAACGTTTTTTCTTTACGAAACTTTTTTTGGAACGTCATTGAACAGCGCTGACGACCCGGTGAGTAGCATATTTTAAAAAAAGAACGTTTAAGGTTGTTTTAAGGACATTATCGGACATGCTCTATGCAAGCCATTCTAAAGCAGCCAGGGGGGGATTCTAAATGAGCCAAAAAGCAGAGACAGGACCAATTGTCAAAATTTTGGTGTCGATCATTCGATTTCATCCTGGACACTACAGAAAATGGGCTTAAAGTGTAAAAAACCGAACTTCTCCTTTAATAAAGCAATGCAATCCAATCCAGTATTGCTTCAGTTGTGACAAATTGCACCAAAAGTTCAACATGTATGATTACCTTTGCAAAGAGTGGAACGTCTCTGCTGAGGGGCCTTTATGTTGCAACATGAACTCAAAAGACCAACATGAAAAACCAAATAAAAACAGGAACTCTGTTAAAGCGATTTATTTTAACCTGCTTAACATTTTATCTACATACATGGAAATCTCCCCCACAAAAACAAAAAAACAAAAACAAAAGGTAATATACAGAATATCAATTTAAACCAGCAGGATGGAAGAAGAAAAAAAAAAAAACAATATCCAGCTTAAGAAAAACATCAAATCCAAGTGCATAAATACAAAATCAAACAAGAAGGAAAAGCCATTGCACTTAAACTTCATAAATACAACTCGGCAATGTTATTTCTCTCTGGAGCCAACCTGTACATTCAACCCTTTGCCACTCTGGGTGCAGTTTGCATTCACATCAGATTTAAACATGTTCATAAAGTGGTTTATAAACTGAATAATCATCAGATCAACACTGAAACTGGAGATAAGACTCCTTCACACAGAGTGATCAGATCATTTAAAAGTGATATAAATCCCAAAAAGAGAGCGAAGACATCAAACCAAATCGTTGACCTTTTAACTGGGAGGCGATTTTATTTGGGACAGTGCATGAAACTCCGCTTCCTGTTTATAGGTTTGGCCTCTTGGATGGACTTTTCGATACTTTACGCCCAAATCAGACATTAAGGTGCTTTCTGAGAGTCAGAAACTCTCTTTTTTTTGTTACCCTGGCAGTCAGCTGTAATTTATGTCCTACCGTAGGAATGTGGCCACTTTCACTCCACTGAATACAAGGTTAGGTTTAAGGACAGCATGGTTATAATATCTGCATGCCAGTAATAAATCCAGGCTGTAGGATGGGTCTTTACAAAATAAAGAAGGAAAATAAATGTTCAATTAAAGAATTTCTGTGAGATTTTGACATGAATGCAGCAGAGAACCTCCGCTCCAAAAAGCCCCGCCTCTATCACAGTTAAAAGACATTTACAGTATAGACAATGTATGAACACGATGATGGCCAGCCATGTATGAGGCACACATGACAGAAAACACCTTTTCTTATGATTGAATACACTAGCTTCAAAAACAGACACGTAACGTAAACCCCCGAAAACATCAATAGTAAAATATCCAAAACCGATGGTGAGTGATTAACGGTTTCTGTTTTTTTGTTTCTGTGAATTCTGACGCTGCTTCAGCAGATCGTCTTCACAGAGGCTACATGGGAGTATCAAAGTGCTTTCATCTCCTCTTCCATCCCTCCCCCCAGATCTCCACCCAGAACATTTCCTGTTTTTATTTCCCCCGTGCCACAAGGTTTCCCATGTTTCCTCCGGCGCTACAGTTAGCTCAGAGATACC